CCGCCATTTTCGGCACCGTCATTTATTTTCCCGCCGAGAATTGGCGCATCGAAAATCGGTCCAGGGGGTGTGCGGTATCTTACGCAACCTACGGTACGGAGATCCCAACCTGTTGCATGTGCATGCGTACTACAAGTACGCCAAGGCGCCGTCGACTGCTGTGTTTTGACGTCTTTTCCTATAAAACTCCTGATCCGATCATTGAATGGCGTGGTTACGGAGTTGCGGAGCTCTTCGCGTATTCCCGTGACGTTTGATCTCCCTCTCCTTCTCTCCTTCGCTCCTTCTCTTGGAGAGTAACAAGGCTGCCCGTTGGAGATAGTTATAATTCCACAGCAGCAGTCGAAGAACGGTGTTGTTGGTTACCGTTTGCCACTTCGAACTTTTTTGTGGTAACTTGAAAACCAGGACCGTAGATTTTCAGTTGGTTCTCGAACATGTGTGCGTGCATGTGTATGCTTGCGCTTGATCATGGAACGACGAGGTTAGGGACCTCCGTATGCATTCCTAGTGAGACCTAACGTTCCCTCTCTTTCTCTTACAAGTAGGAACGATCACGGAAGTGAGCGGCTGTTCTGCCCGTGCGAAACATTTTTACGATAACTCCCTGCCGTAGGTTGCACAAGATATCACACCCCCGACCCGATTTTCAAAGCTCGATTTCTCGGCAGGAAAATCGGTGAGGGTGCCGAAAATGGCTGGAGGCGTTGGAAACCGTGTCGTCGAGAGCTTTCCGACAACGTATCCTTTGATGTCAGTATCCTCTTCGTCGTGGAGTAATGAAGCTTTCCGAATCGTTCCAGGGGGTGTGATATCTTATGCGACCTACGGCGATGGCGGAAGGAATGTTGTTGGACATCTTTTTTCTCGACTAATTGCTTCATTCATAGTTGCGAGGGGGCGTTGATTTTTTTCGCCCGCTCGCTCTGTGGTGAGGTACAAGTACAAAAGACGTACATCTCGCCTTGGACGAATAACAAATATCTCCTGCTGGTCATCATGGCCCTCCTCGTACGTAGCTGCTATGGCCAGGAGAAGAGGTTGCACCGCTGCTGCTGGGGAGATGCAACCTTGAGTACATTGTGTGCGTACACCTACACCTCTCGAGCATCCAGCCCCAGTGCCCCCTGATTGTACGCTTACGTTGCGTGTGTGGCCTATTTCGGCGATCGTTGTTAAAAAGAAAAACGGTATTTTTGAAGACCCTGTGCAAAGCGGTGACCAGTCTAGTCGTTCCGTCCTGGTACTTTGCCAAACGGCGGCTCCATAACGTTTTTCCTGCCCTACAGCAGTATCTATCCTACAATTGATACCATCACTTTCCACGTTTTCAACCCTTCCCAGCATGCCCCAGCTGGTCCCCCCCCCCCCCCCCCCCCCA